GTGTCCCCAGGCTGGTCCTGCGCCGCCTGTACCCTCTGGCCATCCGCATCAGCGAGTTCCTGCGGCTGCCGGAGATGCAGGGCGTCAGCCGCATCCTGGCGCACTGGGCCTGCTACAAGGTGAGGGGACACCCCGGGGACACCCCCCGTGCCACCTCGGGGACACCTGGGGGACGCTCCTCGCCGTCCCCGCAGGTGCAGCAGAAGGACAAGTCGGACGAGGAGGTGGCCCAGGCCATCAACCAGAAGCTGGGGGACGCGGCGGGCATCTCCTACTCGGACATCGCCACGCGCGCCTACGACTGCGGCCGCGCCGAGCTGGCCATCAAGGTGGGCTGGTGGCCCGGGGGAGGGGACGCCGGGTGGCACTGCCACCCCCGGGTGACGCCGCCGTCCCCCCCGGGGCAGCTGCTGGAGTACGAGCCCCGCAGCGGGGAGCAGGTGCCGCTGCTGCTGAAGATGAAGCGGAGCAAGCTGGCCCTGGGCAAGGCCATCGAGAGCGGGGACACCGACCTGGGTGAGGGGACAGCGGCGGCCTGCGGGGGGGTTGGGGGTTTGGGGGAGGTTTTTGGGGCTCTGGGGGAGCCTTTTGGGGTCTGGGGGAGCCTTTTGGGGCCATTTTGGGGGTTGGGAGAGCACCTTGGGAATGTTTTGGGGTCTGGAGGAGCCTTTTGGGACCATTTGGGGGTCTGGGGGAGCCTTCTGGGGCTATTTTGCGGTCTGGGGGAGCCCCTTGGGACCATTTTGGGGTCTGGGGGAGCCTTCTGGGACTGTTTTGGGGGTTGGTCCCTGTCCCCATATCCCTGTCCCCTGTCCTTTTCCCTGTCCCTGTCCCCATGTCTCCATGTCCCCATGTCCCCATCCCTGTCCCCATGTCCCCATCCCTGTCCCCATGTCCCTGTCCCTGTCCCCAGTGTACACCGTCGTGCTCCACCTCAAGAACGAGCTCAACCGCGGCTCCTTCTTCATGACCCTGCAGAACCAGCCCGTGGCACTGAGCCTGTACCGCCAGGTGAGGGACCCTAAAAACCTCCAAAAACCCCCCAAAATCCCCCCAAAACCCCCTGTGACCCCAAAACCCCAAAAACTCCCCAAAAACCCCTGAGAGCACAGCCTCTACCGCCAGGTGAGGGACCCTAAAAATCCCCCAAAACCCCCCAAAATCCCCCCAAAACCCCCTGTGACCCCAAAACCCCAAAAACCCCTGAGAGCACAGCCTGTACCCCAGGTGAGGGACCCTAAAAATCCCCCAAAAACCCCCAAAATCCCCCCAAAACCCCAAAAACCCCTGAGAGCACAGCCTGTACCGCCAGGTGAGGGACCTAAAAACCCCCCAGTGACCCCAAAACCCCAAAAAACCCTGAGTGACCCCAAAAACCCTTGAGTAACCCCGAAAACCCCTGAGTGACCCCAAAAACCCCTATGTGACCCCAAAAATGCCTGACACCACAGTCTGTACCACCAAGTGAGGGTTAGAGAACCCAAAGATGTCCCCTTGACCCCAAAGTTGTCCCTTGACCCCAAAGGCATCCCCAAAACCCCAAAGGTGTCCCTTGACCCCATGGGTGTCCCCTTGACCCCAAAGTTGTCCCTTGACCCCAAAGATGTCCCCAAAACCCCAAAGGTGTCCCCTTGACCCCAAAGATATCCCCAAAACCCCAAAGGTGTCCCCCTGACCCCAAACGTCCCGTCCCCGCAGTTCTGCCGGCACCAGGAGCGGGAGACGCTGAAGGATTTGTACAACCAGGACGACAACCACCAGGAGCTGGGCAACCTGCACGTGCTGGGGGGCTACAGCCAGAGGGTCAGCGGGGTTGGGATTTGGGATTTGGGATTTGGGATGGGGGAATTGTGGGGTTTGGGTGTGGGAATGTGGGGTTTGGGGAGGTTTTGGGGGTGCTCAGGGGGTTTTGGGGGCCTCAGGGGGTCACCAGGAGCTGGGCAACCTGCACGTGCTGGGGGGCTACAGCCAGAGGGTCAGAGGGTTTGGGGTCTGGAGTTTGGGATTTGGGGTTTGGGATTTGGGATGGGGAATTGTGGGGTTTGGGATGGGGAATTGTGGGATTTGGGGGGGTTTTGGGGGGTTTTGGAGGGGCTCAGGGTCACCAGGAGCCGGGCAACCTGCACGTGCTGGGGGACTACAGCCAGAGGGTCAGCGGGGTTTGGGGTCTGGGATTTGGGATGGGGGAACTGGGTGTGGGAATGTGGAGATTTGGGGTTTTGGGCGTGCTCAGGGAGTTTTGGGGGGCCTCAGGTGGTCACCAGGAGCCGGGCAACCTGCACGTGCTGGGGGGCTACAGCCAGAGGGTCAGTGGGGTTTGGGGTCTGGGATTGGGATTTGGGATGGGGGGAATTGTGGGGTTTGGGTGTGGGAATGTGGGGTTTGGGGAGGTTTTGGGGGTGCTCAGGGGGTTTTGGGGGTGCTCAGGGTCAGCAGGAGCTGGGCAACCTGCACGTGCTGGGGGGCTACAGCCAGAGGGTCAGAGGGTTTGGGATTTGGGATTAGGGGAATTGTGGGGTTTGGGATGGAGGGAATTGCCCCTCTGTCCGTGCCGTATCTCCATGTCCGTGCCGTGTCCCTGTGCCATGTCCCCATGTCCCTGTGTACGTGCTGTGTCTATGTCCCCGTGTCCCTGTGTCCCCATGTCCCCGTGTCCATGCCGTGTCCCCATGTCCCTGTGATATCCCCATGTCCCCATGGTGTCCCCGTGTCCCCATGGTGTCCCCGTGTCCCCATGTCCCTGTGTCCTCATGATGTCCCCGTGTCCGTGCCATGTCCCCATGTCCCCGTGTCCCCACGATGTCCCCGTGTCCCCACGATGTCCCCATGTCCCCGTGTCCCCACGATGTCCCCGTGTCCCCGTGTCCCCACGATGTCCCCGTGTCCCCACGATGTCCCCATGTCCCCGTGCCCCCAGCGGATCGAGGGCCGCGTGGCCGCCCTGCAGAGCGCCCTGGATGAGTTCTACAAGGCCAAGAACGACTTCGCTGCCAAGGTGACAGTGCCCAGGGGACACCAGGGACAAGGTCACAGCGCTGGCTGTCCAGGGGCATGGCTGGCATGGGGACACCGAGGCTGGCACGGGGACATCGAGGATGGGGCGGGGCTGGGACCCGGGGCTGGGACAGGGACCCCAAAGCTGGGACAGGGACCCCAAAACTGGGATGGAGACCCTGGGACTGGGACAGGGACCCTGGGACTGGGACACGGGGCTGGGACAGGGACATCAAGGCTGGGACAGGGACACTGGGACTGGGACAGGGACCCCAAAGGTGGGACAGGGACCCCAAAACTGGGATGGAGACCCTGGAACTAGGACAGGGACATCGAGGCTGAGACAGGGACCGGGGCTGGGACAGGGACACTGGGAGTGGGCCAGGGACACGGAGGCTGGGCCAGGGCAGGGCTGGGGACACTGAGGCTGAGACAGGGACACTGGGACAGGGACACTGGGACAGGGACACTGAGGCTGAGACAGGGACATCAAGGCTGGGACAGGGACTCTGGGGCTGGCCCAGGGACATGGAGGCCGGGCCAGGGACTTTGAGGCTGGGACAGGGACCCTGGGCCTGGGACAGGGACCCCAAGGCTGGGACAGGGACCCTGAGGCTGAATAGGGGAAGGGGACCTTAGGTCTGGGCTGGGGACATTGAGGCTGGGACAGCCACCACAAGGCTGGGACAGGGACATTGGGGCTGGGATAGGGACACTGGAAATGGGACAGGGACCCGGGGCTGGGACAGGGACACTGGAACTGGGACAGGGACCCCAAAGCTGGGATAGAGACCCTGGGACAGGGACCCTGGGACTGGGACAGGGACCCCAAAACTGGAACAGGGACCCCAAAACTGGGATGGAGATCCTGGGGCTGGGACAAGGACCCACAGGTTGGGACAGGGACATTGGGGCTGGGACAGGGACCCAGGACTGGGACAGGGACATCGAGGCTGGGACAGGGACCCTGGAACTGGGACAGGGACCCTGGGACTGGAACAGGGACCCCAAAACTGGAACAGGGACCACAAAACTGGGATGGAGACCCTGGGGCTGGGGCAGGGATCCAGGACTGGGACAGGGACACTGAGGCTGGGACAGGGACCCTGGAGCTGGGACAGGGACTCTGGGGCTGGGACAGGGACCCCAAAGCTGGGACAGGGACCCTGTGGCTGGACTGGGGACACTGAGGCTGAGACAGGGACATCGAGGCTGGGCCAGGGACTTCAGGGCTGGGAGAAGGACTCTGGGGCTGGACCAGGGACATGGCGGCCGGGCCAGGGCGGGGCTGGGGGGGACACCGAGGCTGTGCCAGCCACCCCGGATCTGTCCCCGCCGTGTCCCCAGGCCACGGAGGAGCAGATCAAGCTGCTGCGGCTGCAGCGGCACCTGCAGGAGGAGCTGGACAAGCCCTACCTGGACCTGTCCCTGCACGACACCGTGGCCACGCTGATCCTGGACGGGCACCACAAGCGCGCCGAGCAGCTCTACCGGGACTTCAGGATCCCCGACAAGAGGTGGGGACGGGCTCCGGGGGGGCACGGGGGGCTCCAGGGGCAGCCCCGACCCCCCGTGCCCCCCACGCCGTGCCCAGGTACTGGTGGCTGAAGATCAACGCCCTGGCCACCCGCGGGGACTGGGAGGAGATGGAGAAGTTCTCCAAGAGCAAGAAGTCGCCCATTGGGTACCTGGTGAGGGTTGGGCTGGGTTGGTCAACCCCTCGTTGTCCTCCCGGCATCTTCCTCCCCTTCCTCCCAATCCCACTTGTCCCATCCTCTTCCTCCTCTTCCTCCCAATCCCACCCTCCCATCCTCTTCCTCCCCATTCCATCTCTCCCATCCTCTTCCTCCCCTCTCCAGCCCCTCCCCCTGCCCTTCCCCACCTCTCCCTGCCCTTCCCCACCTCTCCCATCGTCTTCCTCCCCTCCCTGCCCTCTCATCGTCTTCCTCCCAATCCCAGTTCTCCCATCCTCTTCCTCCCAATCCCACCCTCCCATCCTCTTCCTTCCAGTCCCACTTCTCCCATCCTCTTCCTCCCCTCCCTGCCCTTCCTGTCCTTTTCTTCCTGTCTCCAACCCTCCCCTCCTCGTCCTCCTTCTCCAGCCCTGCCATCCTTGCCTTCCCATCCTCTTCCTCCCCTTTCCACCTCCACCATCCTCTTCCTCCTGTCTCCCACTCTCTCTTCCTCTTCCTCCCTCTCCATCTCTCCATCCTCTTCCTCCCCTCCCTGCCCTCCCATCCCCTTCCTCCCAATCCCACCCTCCCATCCCCTTCCTCCCAATCCCACCCTCCCATCCTCTTCCTCCCCTCTCCAGCCCCTCCCCCTGCCCTCCCTCCCCTCTCCCTGCCCTTCCCCACCTCTCCCTGCCCTCCCTCACCTCTCCGTGCCCTTCCCTCCCCAGCCCTTCGTGGAGGTGGCCGTGAAGCACCACAACCGCTACGAGGCCAAGAAATACACGCCCCGCGTGGGGCCCGAGCAGCGCGTCAGGGCCCTCGTGCTCGTGGGGTGCGTGGGGGACACCCGGGGGACACCCAGGGGTGGGGGGACATCCTCGGGGTGGGGGGGACACCCAGGGGACACCCTTGGAGTGGGCGGGACACCCAGGGGACAGTCTCGGGGTGGTGGGACAGCACCGAGCAGCCATGTCACCTTGCTGTCCCCTCGCTGTCCCTGTCCCCTTGCTGTCCCCTCACTGTCCCTGTCCCTGCTGTCCCCTCTGTCACTGTCCTGTCCCCGCTGTCCCTCCCTGTCCCCGTTGTCCGCTCTGTCCCTGTCCCTGCTGTCGCTGTCCCCGCTGTCCCCTCTGTCCCTGTCGCTGTCCCCTCTGTCCCCGCTGTCCCCTCTGTCCCCTCTGTCCCTGTCCCCGCTGTCCCCGCTGTCCCTGTCCTGTCCCTGCTGTCCCTCCCCGTCCCCGCTGTCCCGTCCCCGCTGTCCCTGTCCCCTCACTGTCCCTCCCTGTCCCCCCTGTCCCCGCTGTCCCTGTCGCTGTCCCCTCTGTCCCCGCTGTCCCTCCCTGTCCCTGCTGTCCCACTGTCGCTGTCCCCGCTGTCCCCTCTGTCCCCTCTGTCCCTGCTGTCCCAGCTGTCCCTGTCGCTGTCCCCTCTGTCCCCGCTGTCCCTC